GATTCGAGAATGATTGAGTGGTTTAAATAACCAATAACTTGACTGTAGCTATACTTGTTACCCATACTATATGGGTGTGGGATTTGGGATTTGGAATGGGATTCTATAGTATGAAGTATGGGCAGCAACTATATTATGGCATATGGACTATGTGAGTACACTACCACCAGTAACAAAACGGATCTCGTAGTCTCTTCCGTTGGTGATAAATTGATGGAAATGGCAGTTTCCGGAAAATCCATTGAAAGTTTCTTACCCGTAAGACCATTCTATCACCATCATCATGGAAATCAATAACAACATTAATTACGATTACTGTCTTTACAATCATTACAATCACGGTCTTTACAATCATTAAAATCTTCCCTTTCCCATTCTCCTTCCCCTTCACCATCATCACCATCACCATCATCAATATCAACAATGATAGACGAAGCAACAACAGTAACAACAGCTGAAGCTTCAATAAAGATATAATTTTACTTTACAATTATTTATAACCCATTTCAGTTAATTGAAAATTGAATATTGCGTGTAAATAGTTACGTTGAAAAAGAGAAATAGTAGAAATTAAATTTATTTGAACAAGGCTTTAATCTAAACTAAAATGACAATCTACAAATAAATGCATCTTAAAAATTCAAGGCATAATTATATTTGACGCGTAATTCTTGACTATAATATCACGTTAATTGTTAAGAATAAAATTGGTTTTCAGACAAACTGTCAAAGCGATGAATTTCTTCTGATTCAGTATCACTGATTTTCTGCGTCAACATTTCGCTGGCGCTTTTCGACGACTTATATTTTTCATTTTAATCTTTTGGTCATAATATGGACTTTTGCAATAATAGAAAGGGAAAACAGCCGGAAAAATCAATTTTATTTTTATATGCCAAATATGATTTTTAAGTCAAAATATGTTCAGATTTAGCATTAACCCTTTTTTTTTTTCCCAACCATTTCCTTTTCTATTCAAAGGTTCATAAATAATATGTATGATGTTCGTAAGTATGACCTGATCAAGATTATCATGTTTTCATGGTTAATTGATTTCACCTCGTATATAAATAAAAATTTCACGAACGAAAAAAAAACTTTGCTTCTGTATGTTTAATTTTTTAATTATTTACACGGTAAAAATAAAATTTTTAAACAATTTACTAAAATAATTAAATTTTATCATAAATTAGCATCCTTTCTTCCCATCATCATTCACTTTCTCACTGGCTTTAGATGCCATATTGCTAGCTTTGCCATCCGGAATACGAATAAAGCGAAGAACCGGTTCAGAAGGGTCATTATCCAATATATGATATCCACGACGCTCAAACTGAATTATATCACCTATTTCAATAAAAGTTGTTATTATCCTTGGTCTTGCTTTTTTAGGATACCTAATAACACTTGGATTTATTTACCTTTCTTTAACTCCTTAACGTTACTATCAGCTAAGGCATCGGTTAAAAATTCCGTTTTCTCCGTGACAAAATTTTCAACTTCGTCGCCTTCCTCCAGTTTCTTCTTATTTATTAGATAATCATAATCGATTAATACAACTTCAGAAATCGATTTAGTATCGGCAAGCCATGTAATTTTCTTTTTGGTTTTTTTGAAATCTCCCTCCAAGTGAAGTTGCAATTCAAGACCTGTAACAATACTTGGATTTGTATCAGACTTATGAATGACTTTAATAATTGCGTTTCCCCAATCCATAAGTGTGATCTAGGAGTTAAAATTTAATTTAATGTGCATACATGATTTGTATTACGTTCATATTATTACTATACCTCTTCTTCGATTTCAAAAGTTTTTGCATCCTCTTGTTCAACCCAAATATTAGAGGAAAACCAAGTTTGTTTATTTCCGACATCTGGGTTCTTTTTATGCTTGGTCACCTCTTTTGAATAAGCATTCTCGGGTCCTCCCAAAATATTTGCCTTCACTCTAATATGACAAGGAAAGTACACGAATATGATAAGTCAGATAAAAGGTAACATTGGTTTCAAATCATTATATACCATTACATACATATCCTGTTTGATAATTGAAGTGTGTCTGGGAGCAACCGGATCTATAACTTTTCTATTTATTGCCCATAATTTATCCCATTCCAATAAAACATCATTCTGTGACGCTCCTTGAGTCAATATATATTGATTCAAGGCTTCAACTGTCATTCCACGACGTACGATTCCTAAAAATAGAATAAATCAATATAATTAGAATTTGTCTTGTTTGTTGAGCATATTCAAAAAAATAATTTTTATGGCAATTTACCGCGAACTGTTGGGAATCTTGGATCATCCCATCCACTAACAATGCCTTGATTCACAAACCATTGTAATTTACGCTTTGACAACAATGTATAAACAAAATTCATTCTACTGAAATCCCAAATATGAACTTTTCTTAAATCCAAAGCTTTAAGGATCCAATCATATTGAGAATTTCTATCTCGATATTCATTAGTTCTCAACGCATGTGTTACGCCTTCTACTGCGTCTACGACTGGACATGCAAAGTCATATGTTGGATAAACCTTCCATTTATTCCTATTAAGAAAATAATTGAGAGATTAAACTAACACGATAATTGTTATAACTAATTAGGAAAAAAAGCGCTTATGAAATGGAAGAATACCCAGTACGATGATGAGGCAATATGTTACATCTATAAATTACTGGATCACGTAAAGCTTTATTTGGGTTTGACATGTCAATTTTTGCTCGAAGACAACAACTTAATCCCTATAAGATAGATAAGGCTTTTGTTTTTTTTTAAAAAAAAAAAAAAATAGGGGCAATTCATTAATAATATGACTTACAAATGCAGTTCCTTTAGTCATTTCTTGAAACCTTTTTAGATTTTCTTCAACAGATATATCCCGACTTTTCGAAGGAATACCATCCATACGTTGCTGTCTCATCTATTAGAGAATATTTATAACGTATTACAATTTTGCGAAACATGAGATATACAGTATAACAGTTACTTACAGTGACGACATCAGTATCATCAACGTAAGCTAATCCTTTTTCAATTATCTGGATTGCATACTGAAACAATTCTTCAAAATGATCGGATGTATAAGTAATTTGATCAGGACGAATTCCAAGCAATTCTAGATCCTCCTTAATACTATCCTCAAATTCTTCCTATAAATGTGAAATAATATCTAATGAGTTTATGTACAAACAAACAGAAAAAAACGGAATTGTTTTTTTTTAACTTACCTTTTCTTTTGAGGGATTAGTGTCATCAAATCTAACAATCATTTTTCCTTTATACTCTTTGGCAAAATATTGATTCAACATAGCGGCTTTAGCATGTCCGATATGTAAATATCCAGAGGGTTCTGGTGGAAATCTAGTGACCACCTCTCCAATTTTGGCATCTACCAAACCGATATTCATATTTGGTTGATCCTTCCCAACTTTGGACTTCGAATAAGGAGTATTGCTTTGGGTCAAAATATTGGTTCAAACTTGATGCTATATATATTATGTTTAGTTAAATACATACTGTTTTTGATTTGGCAGTTTGAGTAACCCAATTTGTTCCTTGTTGAATAAAATCCATCGAACTAATATAATTAAACCATCTTGCTAAATGAGGACCTCCTGCTTCCTTTCCAGCTTTAAGCTGGCTATTAAAAACGGCCGAATCTATTAAATTGAGGTTAGGTAAATATACAAATAACTAAAATAAGTATTACGTATTATAATTTGACATACTTTTCAAAGCTCCCCATAAAATAATGTCAGCCAAAGATAATTTATATCCGACAAAAAAGGTTCTTAAAGTAAGATGATGATTAATTTCATCAAATGCCACTTCGAGAGTTTTGAAATTATTGGTTCCTAATTTATCCGCAGCATAATCTACCCAATGATCAATCTTTCAAAAAATAAAAAAAAAAATAATAATATTATCAATAAATTAATCTTCTTTTTCGCCTTATCTATTATTTAAAATAAATGAATACCAAAGTCATAGATCCTGGATTATTTCCATATAAGCCCAAATCTTTATAAGTTTTACCCAAATATCTTGCAACATTATTTGTTCCAATAACGTCGTCGCTGTTAAAGATATATTTATTCGAAAATGGGTGTTAATCTTTGAATAATATTTGACGAATTTGTGAAGACAGATAAGATAGAGATAAGAATTTACTAGTCAGATTTTAGAATCACAAGAGAATTAGCATCATTACTTTCTTCGTGCCATTGAATATCAAGTCTTTGAAATGAAGCATTTGATTGGCGATTAATATAATGAGCCAATACGATGATACCTATAGAATTAAATATCAATTTATTCGAAAAAATGAGATAGCAAGGTAAGCATAATTACTGTGAGAAAAATCGTTGAGGTAAATCGTAAATTAAAAATTACTACTGGGTTCTATTTTTTTTGCCTGCGAAATCGATCCTTTTAATTTTGGACAAATATCACATACCATAAGGAACATTTGTTCCTTTTTTGCAAACGTTAATGGTAACCATTTTTCGAATTTAGCTTTTTTTTTTTAAAAAAAAAAAAACCACCACGAGAAAGGTTTAGATTAAAATTGATCGGCGAAATGTATATGGTAATTGATCGGGTCAATTTTGAAGGTTTAACATTTGGGCTAATTAAATTCTGTGGAGATTTCCTTATAAAGGGTTGATCTTAACAATGTTAGAATAAATATTACAAAATAGGAGAGATTCTCATTAACTAACAAAATGAACTTTCTCTCTTTTCTCACACACTATCCTATAATGAACTCGTACAATATTACTCAATTTTTTTTAATTTCCGAATTACTCTTGGAACATTAAATCAAATGGCGAATACATGAATGAAGTCATTATGAATTAAAAACTTAGCCTTGTGATAGTCTTTCATACAATAAATAAAGTAATTATCTACAAAAACTTTTAAAACAAAAAAAAAAAATTTTTTTTTTTTTTGAATTTATTATTTGTTTTTGTTTTGTTATTTTTACAATAATGGGTCAAACAGGAAGTATACCAGAACCTCAACCAAATGAAGCAATTAATAAACAAACTTCACATAATCATTCTAACCATGATAAAATTTCAAATGATATAATGAAGAAAAATTTTTCAAGTTTGGAAACTTACTCTTTAGAGAGTACTTTTGACAATTTGTCATGTCTAAAAGATGATAAACAAGTTATTGAAGAAGAGGCTTTCCTTGTAAGTATAAAATAATATAGATATAGATTAATACAATTTAATTATTCATATTTTTTTTTTTTTTTTAGAAATATTTGGGATTTCCAGAGGGAGCAAAAATCGGTTCATTATTATATCGTTCATTTACATATTTAGCCACTTATCCATCACCAGTACATGGAGAGAACCTTTTGACACTCAATGGACTTTTAAAGGCTGTCGCAGTATACTGTGATAAGATTCATGACGTTATATTAGAAGACCGTGCCAAACTCATCTTCGAATCTTTTGCTATGCATGAAGAACACTCAGCCTCCGGAATAACACCTAAAGCAGGATTTTCCTACGGTCCTGAAAACTCATCTCATGATACTAACGATGGCGAGGAGGGCAAACCAAAATTAAAGATTAGTTCTATTAACCTCGATGATGACGCCGCATTTTTAAGAGCCCTCGGTTTTCAACAAAGTGATGATGATAAAACTCATCTTGTCTCCAAAATATTATGTACCGATATGGTAGAAATCTTGGCAGGAATAATTTGGATCATGACGATTTCTAATTCTTTAAGTTCGTACAAATCAAAGGAATTCGAATCTTTAAAAAGCATTAAACAACTTCATGAAATTGTAACTCCTGTCGTTGAAAATATGGCAAGATATGATTCAAACCTTCGCAATCTTTCTCGTTCACAGATCTTTTCCTCTTCAACTTTTATAAAATGGACAATATTTGATGATTTTATGCGACGGAATATTCCAAATATTTTTAGAGATTTCATCCCATTCTTTTATGGGCAATTCTTGATTGGGTTGACATTATCGCAACACCGTGAAGAATCTATAATAATGGGTCCTCATTTGCCAAAGTTGGATGGAAAGTCTGAAAATTTGAATCCTGCTAATTTGGCTTTATTGAGTTTGATGTTACCAGAAGAAACTTTAAAAAAAAAAGAATGGAATTGCTTATATTCGGGAAGTAAACATGGATTTAGCATGAACCGATTTAGCAGTCACGTCTTTAAATATAATGGACCTACACTTATGATAATCCATGCCGAGGTGACATCAAATTATAATTGTAATTATCATCATACGAGAGTTTCCAAGAAGGAAAATCTATTGATCGGTGCTTACATAACAGATAAATGGCGTTCTACAACCTCAACGCGGTCGTGTTTCGGTTCTGCAAAATGTCTTTTGTTTGAATTACATCCTACATTTGAATCATTTCCCGCATCTCAACGTAACACGAATTACGTCTATTATAATCCTACATTTGGAATAGGATTTGGCGGTATCGATACGCCAAAATCAACAAGTAATATTGGATCAAAGGATACTAATTCATTTGTTATTCAATTGGACAACACTTTGCAACATGGAAGGTATAGAAATGATGCTCTTAAAAGTATGGATACAACTTACAGTCTAAGTGCTTCGAGAACGTTCTTTGATAAGAGTTTTGAAGTGTTGGAAATTGAAGTGTTTGGATTGGGCGGCGAAGGAGCTAGAGAGAAACAAAAGAGAGAATGGATGTGGGAAGAACAGGAAGCTACAAAACGTCAGTCATGGAAGAAACATAATTCAAGCGAAATTGATAAAGATATTCTAAAGGTGGGTATTCAATTAGATGAGATTTGTCAATTATATCGTGTCAAATATTCACATTTCATTTCTTTTTAGATGGCGGGAGTTTTAAATGAAAATACAAAGGAACCATAAATTTTTTTTATACGTGTTAGGAATTTGAATTCCTAAAAATTAAAATTAAAAAAATAAAACTAAAAAAATTTTTTTTTATTGTACATGTACTTTTTTTCTTCAATAATAAATTACGAGAGTATTTTTTCATATTTTCATTGATGTCCTCGTAGTGCATAATGAATGCACACATGACAGCTCATGAACTTGCCAAATCTAACCCGATTTAGATGCCATTATGTAATTATTTAGAAATTAACGTAATACAATTTATAATATATAAATACAAACTCGAATCATCCCCCAACTCTAATCTCGACAAAAAAAAAAAAAAAAAAAAAATGACAAAATTCTGGGCGACTTTATCTAATGATATCTTACACATTTTAACAAACGGATTAGAAGAATTTAATGTCGTGATAGAAGTAGGAGAAGCTCCAAATACACAAACGTTTCACGCACATTCCATCATACTTAGAGCTAGGTCACCATACTTCCGCCAAGCGCTTTCTAAAAACTGGGCTAGAAAAGAGCGGGATGTGATAAAATTTTCTAAACCTAATATAAGTCCAAAAGTCTTTGAAATAATCTTAAAGTAGGTTGTCACTATAGAGGAGAGGAGAAAATTTTATATGGTCATTTCTTAACCTTTTACCCTTATTATTCGTAATCATTAGGTTTATATACAGCGGTACCGTGAATTTGATGAACAAAACGATGATGGAAGCATTAGATCTATTAATAGCGACCGATGAACTCCTATTAACAGAACTGTCGGATCATGTTCAAGAATATTTATTACATTATGAAGTGGGTTGGCTGGAGGATAATTTAATAACACTTTGGAGAAAGATAAATCAATATGAATCGTGTAGAAAACTACAAGAGTATTGTTTATCATTAATTTGTAAAGATCCAAACTTCTTATTTAAATCACCAGATTTTCTTTCACTCGATTCATCATTATTAGTTCCATTTTTAAAATTGGATAATTTACAAATCGGGGAAGTTCAAATTTGGAATTATTTAATTGAATGGGGATTGGCACGAAATGAAAATCTACTAGTTGAGAATATTTCACAATGGACAAAGGAAGACTTTGACCAATTGGGCACAACGTTAAAAGAATGTATTCCATTGATAGGATTTTCACAAATCAATTCATCAGACTTCTTTGATAAAGTTTGGCCATTTAGGGATATTTTACCTAAGGATACATTAGAAGACGTGATGAGATATCATTTGAAACCCACGACCTCGCCAAAATCTATTGATAAATTAGCGAAAAGGTTACAATTTGACTCGGGACTATTGAGACAATGTCACGCAGCATTATTATGTAGTTGGATCGATATATTAGGACAGAAACGGTATTTGTACGAAGATATTCCATATCGATTCCAACTATTATTGAGGGGAACCCGTGATGGATTTGATTCAAACACATTTCATGAAAAATGTGATGATAAAGGTCGTACGGTCGTGGTGATGAAAATTCATCAAACAAATGAGATTATAGGAGGGTATTCTCCCGTACCGTGGTCCTCCAAAGAAGGGTATTGGAACACTGAAGATAGTTTCTTGTTTACACTCGGGAACAGAGGAATGATTGAGGATGGTAGACTATGTAGGGTAAGCAGGCATCGAAGTTGTTATGCCATTAGATTTAATGGGAGAGATTATGGACCTTGCTTTGGGGATAAGGATTTAAGCATGAAAGGGAAGTTTGATCAAGAGGGAAGTTGTAGTTGTCAAAAAGATGATTATTTTGATAAAGTTACTGACACGGGAAGCTTTAAAGTTGATGAATATGAAGTTTTTAAGATCGTTAAAAAGTAAACATAAATTTAGTGAAACCTCATTACTCATTTTTTTTTTATATCAAATACACACCTTAATCCTTTAATTCTTAATTATTTAATATTTCTATTATATCTTTTAAATTCGTTGCTATACTTTTCTTTATATGTCTTATTAATAAATAATTATTTATTGCCGGTTCTCACTCATTCACTCTCCCTCTTTTACAAATATTATTACATTATAATAAGGATCGCACTTTATTAAAGAACAATTCATGTTTTTAAATAAATGATTGTTTTATTTATTAAATTTATGATCGATCAAACGGCAAAACCACCTTTTTCGACATTTTCAGCGAAAGTTTTCTTCTCATTTAAATTTTCAGTAACAAGTTTATCTAAATTAATAATACTACCCAAATCACCGCTCCATTCCTTCTTTCCGATTCCGATACTATTTAAATTATTCACGACCGAATTATTGTTAAGATCCACGTCACTATTATTATCACTATTGATGCCAATACTGAACTTGCTACTATAACTATCAAAATCACTGTTATACCCATCGCTATTGACAGAATTGTTATAATAAAACGTTTTAAATCCTATGAATAAAAACATACTTTTAATCCTTTCTTCTTTCAACCCGAATTTTTTAAATTCCCTTTTTACACCCCCTTTCTCGCCTTGTATGTTGCTGTCACCGTTTTTCTTGAATAAACCTCTAATCCCACCACCCATCCACTTTTTTCTTCCAACTCCGGTTGGATTTGATTTCTTGTTAAAGAAAGAATCCCCACTCCATGAACTAAACCCACTAAATGATTTATCATCATCATCTCCGTGAATCGAATTTTCATCTTCGGTGTCTGAAGATGGTACTTCCTCATTCACATGAGATAATAAAAATACCCCATAAACGAGAATCAGTATCCCAACAAATACCAATATCAATGCCCAAATTGGATATGATGTTAATTCGTTTAGGTAGATCATGGTGTTTACCAATCCCAGAGTAGTGTAAAGACCGAGGAATATTGGGACCACTAGAACTGATTCGCAATATTTTAACGCCACGTTCAAACAATATATCTATATTATACATATGTATATATGTGAAATCTTGAACATACACCAAGACGCGAAAGGAAAATATATATGTGTATATATACCTGAATAAATGCGGTTATTATAAGAAATAATAGGACAAACCATCCGGTCAGGTCAGTGAATTGATTAACCTGAGTTGATATGGAAACAAAAAACAATTTCACGCTAAAAAAAAAAATTGATCAACGTTATTTTCACGTTTTTTTTTTTTCAACAGCGGGGGGGGGGGGGGCAGCGATAACTCACCCAGACTTTGCCAAAAGGAGAGTTTGACTGGCATATAATCCAGCAACCGTGGCCATAAGCATACCGCAATATATCTTGACACGAGCCGTTTCAACATTTTTAAAAAATCCCTTACGTTCTTTACGTTTCTCATTTAATAATACCCCATCGAAATATAGTCCTCCAATTAATAATAATAATGATAATAAATTCAGTGTTGAGAAATATATGATGAATGATGCTTGTGTTATTAATGACTCTAACGACCTCAATGTTAATGAAGATTCTAAGATGGTAATCCAAAATATATATATGTGAACGAGATTTATAAGTAAAAGTTGCCCGTTAAAAATTATCATTTAAACTTACCAATATGACTGTTATTTAGACCTCCAAAGAAAACTACCCAACATACTGAAATTAATACAATAATCGTTCCTAAAATATCTCGTTGTGTGATCTGCGTTCCGACAAGCATCTTTGCAAAAATGAAATTAAATATCAACGATACAGATCCGAGTGGCGCAACCCACTGAGTCTTCAAATAATCTAAACGAATGATTTGAGATTTTTTTTTTAAATTTTATTCCTTTTTTTTTTTTTTTTTTTTTTTTTTTTTTTTTTATATAATAGAAAAAATAGCTCACTTAATGCTATCGTACTTCCAACGGCCTGACTTACAATATACAAGTATAAACCTAAATGCCATAGTGGCCTGCTACAATCAACTCGTTGCTTTTCTTTGGGTAATGCCGAATTTTTTACATGATCTGCTTTTAACAGATTTAAACCTGCTGCGTACATTATCGAGGCTAATATTGATACTACGAATCCTATAAAGAATTCTAGGTTCGTAGGATCAGCCATGTCGGATGATATCTTTTGGAAGAATGAATAAAAAAAAAAAAAAAAAAATTTAAGAACAGAAGAAAGGGAAGGTAATTCGAAATCGATGATGGTCTTTTATGGATATCTTACGGCAAATATTAATTAGAACGTTTGGAAATCTTGAACCAAATAATATACAAAAAGTTATTTTTCTTTTTCGACTGTTAACTTTATACGTAAAAAGTAGGGTTAAATTTTATCCTTTTTCTATCGAAACTATAATCAAATATATAATATATAGTATGTTCGCGAGGAAATTAATTATTTGAATCAAAGTTAAAACAAGAAGGATTCATTTATCACTTTAATACTTATTTTGTTAACCAACAATAAAAAAAAAAAAAGTCTTTGTTTTGGAATAAAACATTTGGTTAATTGCGTATTTCTAACACACAAGTTCCATGAGATACGCGCGAAATAGCGTGGCTCGGGTAAATTGAACCAATTATTTAAACAACCAAAACAACTCAATTCCGTAATATTGAAAAAAAAAGGGGGGGCTGTGCGAGGCTTAGAAGGCAAGTGAAATTAGCCGTGATCACATGAAAATGAATATCGGGAAGCGGAAAACGATATCAAAAAAAAAAAATAAAGAACTGCGCCATCGATCATCGTTTTCAAAAAGGTTTAAATAAATTTTATTAATATGTCGTTTTATACCAGATAAAATCAAATATTAAAAAATGCAATTATGATCAAATAAATTTAAAAGTACACGTGATAAATCTAATCTAATGTTATCTAATATTGAGTTTCTATAAATAATTTAAAATAGTACATTTTTTACCACTTGGTGAAGTACCACTAAATACTTCAACGCTTGAGAAACTGTTTTTCTTTATCAAAGCATTGAAATTTGATTTCTTTGCAACAAACCAATCAATATGTTTATTTCCAAATGAGAAACCTTCATCATCGACTCTAAGGCAACCGTTATGAGTTTTACCGTTCGGTAACACGATTCCATCAAGTTTTGGAATATAGATCAATGTTCCTTTCTTTATATCATTGGCTGCAACGGTGACAAAAGGAACCAATGGTACACCACTTGAAGAAATGCCAAATGGAAATTTTGTTTTGTCGAGTTGGAAGAAGCAAGAATATGATGAACCACATTCGCAATCTATTTTTAAAGGAAAAAAAAAGGATGAGTGAGGATCAACAATTTTTTTTTTTTTGATATTAAATCATTCAACAAAAGAATTACTTACCATCAAGATTAAAAACTCGACCGTCCTTAGTGATACCGGTTCCTTCTAATTTCATGGAATCAGCAAAATCTTTATTTACTTTTGCAAGCTTTTTACCATTACAAGATTTAATATCAACTGTTTTAGTTGATTTAAAATCAGATTCGAATTCAACCCAGAAAAATGTGAGCTCTGATTTCTTTGAAATAAGGGGTCCATTAACGTTTTCACGTTTATTTAAATGATTCAAAAGTCCAGGTGTTCCAGACTCCAGAGTTGTGGGAAATGATGAAACATAAGTTATCATTATGAAAAGGATCATTAAGGAGATCGAGAATTTGTTCATTTTGTACATTTTTGATAGTTTCTTTTTTTGAAGGTTTAAAGATATGTTATGAATGCAAAGGAAGTATATTTTGTTTTCCTTGAAGAAAGTAATTCTCAGCATGTTGAAAACTCCTCCATTTTATACTTGTCAAGATTTATTTGAAGAGATATGAAACAGAAGGGTTTTTAAATTTGCAGATACGCGTAAATTCAAAATTAGTCGCATCCGGATCCCGTAAACCTTCAAAAACAAAATTGCTTCTATAAAAAGGGAAATCATAAATTTTATGATTGACGTTGAAATGTTTGAGATGGAACGCAAGAACACACACATACATATTTACCTGATTAGCCAGTTAATAATAGTAACATATAATTAATTGAATCTGATAGTCCAAAATAAAAAAAATTTTTTTCTCAACAAATGCGGCTTTGCATTAAAAAAGCATTAAACCAACAAACAAACAATGGCAAAATCAAATCTGTATTTTCACACTTTAATTACTCTTTTTAGAAATTAGAATTAAATTTTATTAATAAAATTTGCTTTTTTAGCTTGTTTTTCATCCGTCAATACACAATGTATTAAAAATGGGTTTATTCTAGAACACGTCCAAAGGAAGTGGTACATAATTCACCTTTTTATGTCAATATCCGTTTGTACGAGATTATAATGCATGTATGTATCTCCATGTTTCAAAAAGAAAAAGATGCGCATTTTTCATCCTTTTATCATTCATGATAATGTAAAGGTTTTCGGTTGCAATGAAAAAAAAAAGATCCGGAAGATTCATTCATTTAGTCAAACGAAAATGTTTCGGCAAAAAAAAATAAAAGTTTTCCAAATAATAATGTCCTAACTTGTCAAAGATATCAAAAATGCTGTTTTCTCGAGTCTCGAACATACAAATTAATAAAGAAAGAAAGAAAAAAATTCGAAACTAGATTTTTTTTTTAATTTTTTTAAAAAAAAAAAAAAAATAGTTTGCGGAGATGACATCTCAATTGCTTGCGTTTGATGTTTCATTATTCGAAATCGACTTATTTGGTTAGTTTAAATTCGTGAACTAACTAGAAAAGTACAAACGATAATGAATAATGCACTTGCTATATCGAGAAAAATTCTGACAGTAACAATGCATGTTTTTTTTTCCAATGTTAACGAATATCGTTGTTTCCTTTAGAGATCAAATTTAATTGGATTAAAGATAAATGAACCTTATTCGTTTTAATTCATTAGTAAATACTATTTTGAATAAGCATTCATTTTGAGAGTTATTCAAGAAAATTTTTCGGAATAGAATATTCCTTCCAAAGTTATTAATAAATAAAGTGATCTTATTTGTTCGCAACGTTTCATTTTTTGCTCTCATTAAATTATTTACTTTTTTATATTCCAGTTTGTTTACATTAATCTTTACAAGATTCCAAAATTTTAAAAGATTTTCCAAACAAACAAATAATATACGATTTCATAGGTTCAGACATGTTACTTACTGCGGAAATAATCTTAGAACAAGGCAAGAACTAAAAATAGCACCGACACTATTTTAAGTGCATTTTTCTTTTTCTTTTAAAAAAATAAAGATTTAATATTATTACATATTTCTCATTGATGCTAAAATTTAACTATTTATTAATAATAAGATGAATTAGTGAAACATCAGAATAAAAATAGTAAAGACGAAACTTGATGCCAACCCTAACACACGTCTAACCCTAACCCCAAGTTATATGTCCAGCGTTCATACACGCCGTGGTAAAGTTAGGAAAGATAAAAAAAAAAATTTTTGTTTTTGTTCATGAAAAATAAAAACTAGCTCCATATAATTTTCTTCATTCATAAAAAATAAGAAACAATAATCATCTACTCAATATGTATTAGTTATTCATTTCGATTGAACATCAAAAAAACGTTTTCAAAACAGCAAAAAAAAAGAATTCGTCTAAAAAGTTTTATTTGTGTCCTAGGTGGTCTTGCAAATTTTACTAGAATTACTACAAGTAGTTGTTTATTTTTCAACGAAAGTTCTATAAATGCATGTAATGTCTTACAAAATTTACCCTTTCTTAAAACATTGTTGTATAGAATAAACAAATGAGTGTCGCGGATATAACTTTTATGTTAAAATCATAAAAGGTGTTAGTACACCCCACAAAAATATTTATTTAAATTACAAAGAGGTGATTCCATCGAATATGAATTCGATCCACGCGTAAAAACTGTATAAAATCATGGATTTTAGCCCAGAAAAAAAAAAATATCCCATCTCATTTTCGTTCATTTTGATAATATTTCATTGTATATTTACATTCCTTCATTCATTTTGATAACGTTTCGTTTTGTATATCATTTCTTTGATAACGTTACGTTTGTACATTATTCATCACTTAAAATCCCTACAAATTTCAAGAAATATTTTCAAAGATGACCAAATACACCTTTTTCCTCTGTTTACTTCTTCCAATCCTTTTCATAAGTGCTACTCCCACCTTTTCCTTTCCGGCAGCTAGTTCTGAAATAGAAAAACTTCTTTCATCCAAATCCGTATTTACCTATTATTGGGTTTCATTTGAATCAGATCACAAATCGTCTCGTCAAGTCACGATTCGAACTTGCGATAAGAAACCTATTGCGACCGTAAATAAGGATTTTGCAATTGAAATGAAAACGGAAGGAACCGGTGTAAGTAAATCTGGCAAAGTATTTAACTTTGGTGGTAAGTAATAATAATAAATTTTTTTAAATCTCACAAAAATTATCATATATTTATCATATTATTAAATCGCTTTGCTAAATTTATCCGCTTTTATTTTTTTTTCTTAGATTGTGATTGCGGCTCTGGTTTCGATTGTTTCGTTGAGTTAGACAAAAAGAAGCTCCCGTTTGGTGAATCATCAAGTGAAAATCCCCTTACACCATTTGTCACCATAGCAGCTAATGATATTCGTCCGGGAACAAAACTTTACATTCCAAAGCTTGATGGAATGATCATGCCGGGCGGAGAACGTCACAATGGATGCGTAAAAGTTGATGATGAAGGTCATGGGTTTGGAGAAAGACACATTGACTTTTTTGTTGGCAAAGAATCTAATTACAAGACCTTGATAAAGCAAAAGCTGTTCACCGAAGTTGAAGTTTTTAGCGCAAAGAAATGTAATATTCTGAATTACAGTATGTAAAAGGTTAAAATTTGCCAATTAACTTTTTAGAAATTTTATCCAAGTAGAACTTTGAATCAAAAAATTTTCTTACATTATATGAAATTAGATAACGATAATTTTTATATTTACTTTTTGATTCTTATGTGTACTTGAAATTTAATGAACAATTCTTTAGGGCTCGTTTGATATTCTATATATATAGTAACGCGGTATCGTACATTGCATTTATACATACGTCAGGTAGATTTGACACATTGTATATTTATTGGTTTGTTAAATAAAGTGATCTTTGTTTAAACTTCAGAATTTATTCATCAGATCGTGTTTACTGAACATTTTATCATTGATCAAAATGATTTATTAGTTAGAATCGTAAATAGTGATAGAACTAGAGTATTTTCCTTTCAGAAAGAAAGGTTCTTCTAATATTCTACTAATATTCTATAATAAATAACTTATAATGATAACTGATTGCATTTATGATTGAAATATGAAAATTAAATGAATGATTTTGATCTTATTAAACGAAAAAAAAATAGCTCTCATTTTTTTTTTTTAAAATAATTTTTCCATATGAATTATTGTGTGAAGACGTTCCTTTATACTGGTTACTAGGACGATATTATTAGCATTAGGTACTAAGTGTTTTGAATGAAAAAAAATATATATATATTCGATTTTCTTACGATGATTATCATGTGGCCAGATTACGAATTATGTTTATAATTTTATATGTTCACCTAAATAAAACATAACTAGAGTCTAACGCTTCTAAGAATAATTGAAATTAAGGTAGGGTCCATAATTAAAGATAATATGATGTGTGCGAGTAATGGTGAGATTTGAATAAAGGTTTCAATTACAAATAACATAAAATTATTTTTGTAATAATGAGATGATTAAAATTAAATTTGTAATGATTACCGTATCCTTCCGATTTTAAGCACCACCCCAACTTTCGGCACAAAAACTTGAAAAACAAAAATAAGCACCACCCAAATTTGAAAAAATTTTATTATATTTCATATTTTATTTCAAAATAAAATTTTATTTTACAATTCATCATCATCTTCCCATTTTAGAAGTCACCGCAATACCATCTTTTCGAAATTCTATAAGTCATGTTTTTAAACTAGTTTCAGCTTCGGGATATTGTGCTTTTCTTCCTGCGCCAATACGTCGATTTTTTCCTTTTGCTGACTTGAGTTTATCTCCCTGTTTTTTCCAACGTGAAATCATTGAATGATCAATAGAAAAATGACGTGCAGCTGCTCTTTGACCATGATTTTTTGCATATTGCAAAATCTCAAGCTTTTTACTAGCAGAATATGATGACCTTGAATTTTTGGCATTGCATGTGAAAAAAATATACATAAAATAGGGTAAAATTGAATTTATATAAAGTTATGTAGTACAAAATTTTTTCGAAGCACAAAAAAAAATTAAAAAAAACTTCTGAATTTAAGCACTATCCCAAACTTTAGTGAAAGTTTTCCCTCAAAAAGTGGTACTTAAAATCAGAAAAATACGGTAAATAATAGTTACATAGATAGTCCTAGTATAGAAATTAGTTTAGATGACTTAAAAAAAGAATTTGTAATTATTCGCCATCCCGTTATAGATGTAACCATCATAAGAAGAATCTTTAGAAAGATGAAAAATCAAAACAACATTCTTGTTCAATACTTTATTAAAGTTGACTTTTATGCAGATATTAGTCAAGATTATAATAATAGATCAATTGTTCAATGTTCTGGCTGTAATCTTAATGATGTAGTTCTATTGAATTTCTGCAAAAAAATCACCCAATCACCTGAGTAAACTCTTTGGAAAACCTATCATATATACAACTTGTATTAAAGGTTACAATGCTCTTACTGCAATAATTGTCAAAAGAATTTGTATATCTCACCTACTTAAAAAGATAACATTTATCATGAAACAAACTTCTGAAAATTATATTACTTCTCATCATTATCAATTGTTAAGAAAAGATGCTTGCAGAAAATCTATTGCGTTTATAATAGATCATCTGACTAATAGATGTGTTGACTGTCTAACTCAGTCTTTAAACAATAAGCTTATTAGAAAATGTATAAAGAATGTCTCATATCAGGATGAACTCATTAATCTATTTCACGCATGTAAAGATCTCATTACACCTAATTTTTACACTGATGGCTCTCTTTCTAATCTAACTTCAGAAGAGTGCAAAATGGGATTAGGATGGATTTGCTCAGATTTATTAATGCTGTAGTATTGTATTATCTGTCTTTCACTAGAGCTGAACTTTTTGCTTTCCTTACTGCACTTATCATTTGTCCTAAACTCTCTTTGCCAACTATATATTTAGATAGTCAAGCGGTTATTGACGGTTACTACAATTTTTGTCTAAATCATAAATATACAATAAGGACACATGAAAAAGTTCCTAATTATACTGTCTGGATTTTGGTCAATCATATAATTAATGAATTAAAACTTTCTATAAAGCTGATTAAAGTTAAAGGTCATTCAGGAGATCATTACAACGATATAGCTGACAATCTAGCAAAAACTAGATGTTCTAAATTACCTTTATTGCTTGATTTTACAACTTGTGATGATTTACAGCTCCTTTTCAGCTTTAATCAAGTCCCTGTAGAATCTTCAACCAGGAAATTCTGGAAAAATCTTAATGCAGCTAAACAATTCTCAACATTTATGGACCTTAATAGAAATTCCCAATTAATTTAACATATCCGTTCATTTGATATTCATTGGCCTACCTTTTTTTCCATTTTTTCTTCAAATTTGAAAGACGTTTCTGCTGCTACCTCTTTTGTTCAAAGACGAAGAAAAGGTTTTAAGTTAAAATCCTTAACTGAAGAACTACTCATGATAGATAAACTTTTAGTAAGATGACCTAATTTATATAAAAACTGACTATGTATCTATTATATATCATTTAAAGAAGACTATCATCATTTATAGACATGCTCTTATAGAATACAGGAAATTACATAGATCTGCTTGTCTACTGATGTTTTTCTCAATAAATTGATCTTAGACAAAATTGGAAAAAATGATAATAGGCTCAACCTTTATTTTTCCATCAAAAATCAGCTTATAGAATTATTAGACCCTTCACTTAATATTACCGCTTGTATGCATTTGGCCAAAGGAATTATTCCTAATCAGATGTTAATACTCCTCAAGGAACTGTTCTCTCTTTCTAACTTCAAATGCATTTTAGTAAACATTTCTAACTTCCTTACTACTGCCTTTCATGATGACATTTGGGCTCTCAAATATAAGGAAATGATCCTAGAAGAAAAGAAAAACAGCATCTTTATGAGATTAAAAAAGAAAAAAGTCAAGATCAAACATCCTTTAACTATAAAATTCTCAAATAAAAATTTATCAAATAGTTGGATTACTTGGATTATTTCAGCCACAAAATTTGGTTTCTCTTGGTACGACTTCTTAGATAGATACTAATAGTTTTATTTGAATATCTTGTTAATGATTTAATCATCAAATATGGATTTTTTGTTTTCTTCTGAGGGATGTTCTGGTGATTGGTCAATCCAAACAGATTTGTAAAAGAATCACGAAGGATAGTTATAGTTTAATTTTTTATTGTTTTTACTTTTAATTTTAGTTTTTCTCATTAATCTTATTTGTAATATTATAACTAATGCTCTGAACGGTTTGGTTCAGTCCGGATTATAGGCCAATCCGAAACTGAACTGAACCATAAACCAGTAAAAATCCGAACTGAACTGAAAATTTCAGATTAATCCGAAATTTTGGATCGTTTGGAACGATCCTTTTATCGTTCTTTTGGAATGATAATTTAATCATTTCAATCGAACGATTTTCTTATCGTTCATTTAGAATGATAACTTCAATCATTCCAAATAAACGATTCTTTTATATTTTTTTGGAATGATAATTTAATCATTCCAAATGAACGATTCTTTTATCGTTCGTTTGGAACGATAACTCTAATCGTTCAAATTGAACGATTCTTTTATCGTTCTTTTGAAATGATAATTTCATCGTTCCAATCAAATGATCCTTTTATTGTTCATTTGAAACGATAATTTGATCATTCGTTTGAAACGATAATTTGATCATTTCAATTGAACGATCCTTTTATCGTTCTTTTAGAATGATAATTTAATCGTTCTAATCGAACGATTTTCTTATCATTCATTTGGAACAATAACTTCAATTGTTCTAAATGAATGATTTTATTATCGTTCAATTGGAACAATAATTTAATTATTCTAAACGAACGATTCTTTTATCGTTCGTTTGGAATGATAACTTCAATCATTCCAAATGAACAATTCTTTTATCATTCATTTGGAATGATAATTTGATCGTTCTAATCGAACGATTTTCTTATTGTTCGTTTGGAACGATAATTTGATCGTTCCAATTGAACGATTCTTTTATGGTTCATTTGGAATGATAATTTCATCATTCCAAATGAACGATTCTTTTATCGTTCATTTAGAACGATAATTTGATCATTCCAATTGAACGATTCTTTTATTGTTCGTTTGAAATGATAATTTCATCATTCCAATTGAACGATTTTCTTATCGTTCGTTTGGAACGATAATTTGATCGTTTCAATTGAACAATTTTCTTATCGTTCATTTGAAATGATAATTTCATCATTCCAAACGAACGATTTTCTTATCGTTTGTTTGGAATGATAATTTAATCGTTTCAATCTAACGATTTTCTTATCGTTCGTTTGGAATGATAACTTTAATTGTTCCAAAAGAACGATAAATTTAATCATTCCAAACAATCTGAAATTTCAGATTAATCCGAAATTTTCGGTTCAGTTCAGATTTTTTTCGGTTCGGATTAGATTTATAATCCGAAAAAAATCTGAACTGAACCGAAAATTTTCAGATTGAAATTTTTGCAATTCGAAACCAAACTAAAGTTAATCTGAACTGAAAATTTTCAGATTAATCCGAACCGTTCAGAGCTTTAATTATAACATAAATATA